CTACTACCACTACTGCTATTACTCCTCCTCCTCCTCCTCCTCTTCCTACTACTACTACTACTACGACTACTACTGCTACTGCTACGATTGCTACTACTATTACTGCTACTACTACTCCTACTACTATTACTACTACTACTACTACTACTACTACTACTACTACTACTACTACTCTTACTCTTATTCTTACTACTACTACTACTACTACTACGACTACTACTATTACTACTACTACTACTACTAGTACTAGTACTACGACTACCGACACTACTACTACTCCTATTTCGTCTGCCCTTACCTCTACGACTACTACTACCACGACTTGTACTCCTATTACAGGTATGGCTACTACCCTGTAGCTTCCCCGGGGGATTCTATAGGATACCGTAGAGATTGTGTAGGATCCCAGAGAGATTCTACAGGATCCCTTATGGGGTGCTACGGCATCCCCTAGGGATGCTATAGCATCGCCTCAGGTTTCTTTAGGATTCCGGAGGGATTCTGTAGGACCCCCGAGGGATTCTATAGCGTCCCCGAATGATTCTATAGGACCCCCTATGTATTCTGTAGCATCTCCAACGGATTCTATAGCATGCCCCATGGTTTCAACAGGAGTCCCAAGGGAGTCGACAGGATTCCCTGTACGATTCCGAGGGAGTCTGCAGGTCCGACGTCGGCTCGGTGGAGCGCGCACAGGTTGAGCTCGTGGGAATACGTGGGCTGCCTTAGGGATCCAGAAGATTTCCAGCGGCTTCCTGTGGTTTCCTATGCTGGCCGTCTGGCGTGTAGCGTAGCGTTGCGTTGCGTTGCGTTGCGCGGGGGGGAGGGGCGCGCAGGATACACCAGCTGGTTGTTTCATGACATGGAGCTAAACAGCCAGCTGGTGTACCTGGTCCGGGTACACCCGCTGGTTGGTTCGCCTTGTTGTTGTAGTGTTTCGTTGTGTGTGTGTCCGTATGTAGCTCGAAATTGCATTGCAAATTCACTGGCCACCTGAGCGCTGAAGAGGCCCACGATCGCGAAAAAACGCGGGTGCGCCTGTGTGTGACAGAGAGAGGGTGAGCGTGTCATTCGTTGAGATGCAGGACCTTCTTGCCAGGCACATCCGCGGTCCCTATGTTTGCTGTTGGACGGTTCCTATCCGTGGCTCTCCTGCCGTGCTCGCCAGGGACTACGTTGCTGGAGTTGCAGGTGGTCTGACTTAAGCCTTGCGGGCAACCATTGGATCATGTCTCGCGAGGTGCCACCCGCGACACTTTGCGGACGCGGGGGCCCGCAGCGTCCGTGACAGGTAGTGATGCTGTCCTGGCGCACCGTTCCGGCATCTACCTCCGACTTGCGTGCTTGGCGGATGTTTTTCCAGTGGAAGTGTGCCCGCTGGGTGGCGGACGCCGCTCCGGCGTGTCGCCCACTGCGTTGACCTCGTGGGAGGTCCTGCGGTGCCGTTGAGATCCATCTCTGCCGTGTCGGATCGCGGTCATCGCGACCACCGTGTAGACCGCGAGTGTCTCGCCTGCTTCTCCTTGAACCAGCTGCGGCTCGCTTCAGGATGCAGCGCTCTTGCGTACGTCGCGATTTCAGACGACTCTTTTGATGCGGTGCCCCCCATGCGAATTCACATGGTGTTTCGAGGATCTCCTTATCCCTCTCGCCATTATTCATCCGAGTTTGCGAAGGGAGGAGGTCGGCTCAAAATTTTTGTTTGAGTGTGGTCAAGTGGCATGGCTCGCGGCACTGGCGAAGGTTCACGATCAGCGAATCCGATGTCGTTGCACGCGTGGCGCATCTCGCGCAGGCGGATGGCGATTGAGAAGAACCAACTGGAGACGTGGCGCATTTGAGTGGTGTGAACTTCGGGAGTGGCGAACGTGGCGTTCCATGCAGCACGATGCCCAGCTGAGGGCGAGGTATGAAGCCGAGCTGAAGGCGCAGCGGGTGCAGAAGCAGGCGACCGAGGTGGAGAAGGCGCAGGAGGCCGAAGCGAGGGCGAAGCAAGTGGAGGATGTGAGCGCAAAGCAGGAGTTCGAAGTGAGCACGGCGAAGGAAGGTGCCAAAATGCAAGCGAAGCAACAGGAGGAGGAGGAGAAGGAGGAGGAGGAGGAGGTGAGGGCAACGCAGGATACCGAGGTGAAGACAGCGAATGGCCTGGAGGGGAAGGTTCACTAGGGCGCTCTGCCGAGGCATGAATGGCAAGGGCGAGATGCTGCTGATTGACATGGGCGGAACGTTCCCCCGAATGTGCCGACGAAATCTGCTTCTCGCGAAGGGGTCCACATACCACAAAGAAGATTGCACAGCGCCGAGCAGGTCACAAACAAATGCATGGACATGTCGGACACGAAGATGCAGGGCGTGTGCGCAGAGCAGAGATTCCAGCGTTACGGAGCGAGCCTCGCGGACTGGGGGTGGGCGAAGGTTAGCGAGGGTTGACGGGCATAGTCTGTCTTGCGCCAGGATGGAGCTGCACAACATTTTGGTCAACCACAACATTCCAGTCCGGATATGTCTCGCATCGTGTGATTCACTCGCTGTTGACATTGACAGCACTGCACAGCCTGTCTGCTACGCTGCTCGCGGCATCACTGGAAAAGGGGTAGACGCCGTGCAACGAGAGATGATGACTTGCATGCCACAGGGCACCGGATGACACAACGACAGAAAAGAGCACCGGCAAGTATTCGTGTGGGTGTCCGGAGCGAGGCGCGCGGTGAGCAGAGACGCCGCTTGCTGGACAGCATTAATACTAGAGCAGCGGGACTCGCTTGCAGAGAGCATCGTGGGTCGCGAATGTCACAAGTGAGAGACGTAGAAAACTGGGGTCGTCTTCACCGGCATTGTAGCGTTCCGCGCTGGCGGCCCACGTGAGTCGCCGCGTGAGGTCGCCATTCCATCTCGCGAAAGACCCGTTTCTTCTCGTCGCTCAAGTGTGCCTGGCTGGGGTACAGTCGGCCCGGATTAGTAGGTCGACCCTGCCAGCTCAAGGGTACCCGTGTGTCCTGTGCCTCGCGACACGTGCCTTCTTTCACTCCTATGGCGATGTGGCCCTCGGAAGGGTCCCCCTGTCCTCTCGCGTGTCCTGTCCAATCAAGACCGACTGTATCTCAAGGAGGCTTGCCTGGCCCGCACGCCAAGGGACGGACGGAATCGGACGGACGGCGCTCCTGCGCGTCTTCCCCGAGGGGCGAGCTCGGCGTGCACTTTTCCTCCCGTGCCCTGAGAGCAGGGCGGGCCCCCCTACCCGTGCGGGGTCCGCCCGTGTCTGTGATTGTGTGTGGGCGCTCGTGCTGGGTCGGGCCTGTCCCCCTACAGGGGGGATTTGGGATGAAAAATGCAAAGAGCCAAACTTACCTTGAGACATCCAGAGATGGTCAAAAAATCGTCCCCAGACTACTGTTTGTCTATTTTGGAATATTCCTCCTGTAGAGGGACAGGCCCGACTTGATGCTCGTGCGCGGTGCGCCTGCGCGCCGCCAGGTCCCGGCGGGCCAGAGTGCTCCTTGTGTGTTGCGCTTGTCCACCCTCCGCGGTCGACGTTGCGAGGATAGCGGGCGACGGGGCGCCCCGTCGGCCCGCTGCTTGCACTCCATGCCCCCACGCTCTGGGGATAGCGTGCGCGGGGGAAGCCCGGGCAGGGGTTGTAGCGTGCACAGGAGCATCTCTTGCAGGGGGATCGCCTCACAGGGGCGGCTTGCACGGATGAAGCCTTACTTTGGGGGGTCGCGTGATTTTGCTCTGAGATTGGGTGTTGCACGTTATCTTTGCGATGCCAACCATAAATTGCACGCCGACTCGCAGCGCGCGGTCCGCCAACAACTACGTTGGGTGGAATTCGCGCGGTAGCTCGCGCCCCTTGCAATCACTCGCAACGGTGACGCCACCTGGCCGACGTAGGAAAAAGTGTGCGCGTGCGCGCGCAACAACTAGCCCGGCGAAGGACCCAACTATATGCAGAAGTGAGTACCGCAAGGCAGGTGGGACGAAGGAAGGGGAGCTCCCCATCGGGCCAACAGGCGTGTGAGGGGTGGGGTGTGTGAAATGGGGCAGTGCCGCAATGCGGGAGCTCGATGTGGCGCCTTCAGTGGAGCTCCCCGCAAGGCCACGAAGCGTGTGCGGGGTGTGCCGCAATGGGGCTGTGCCGCCATGCGGGCGGTACCATTGGGGCCTTCGGTTGAGTTCCTTACAGTCGGCCCAGATTAGTAGATCGACCCTGCCAGCTCAAGGGTACCTTTGTGTCCTGTGCCTCGCGACACGTGCCTTCTTACACTCCACTGGCGATGTGGCCTTCGAAAGGGTTTTGTGTCTTGTGTCCTCTCGCGTGTCCTCTCCAATCAAGTCCGATTGTACGGGACCACGAAGCGTGTAAGGGGTGTGCCGACATGGCGCGGTGCCGCCATATGGACGCTGCTATTGGGATCTTCGGTGACGGCGTGCGAGGGGTGTGCCAACATGGGGCGGTGCCGCCATGCGGGCGTTGCCGCTAAGGCCTTCTGTGGAGTTCCTTGTGAGGCCACGATCTCGTGGAGGGGCGTGCCAAGATGGCGCGGTGCCGCCACGCTGGCGTACAACACAGCGCGCGCGGGGTGTGCAACAATGGGGCGGCGCCGCCACGCGGGCGGTGCCACTGGGGCCTTCGGTGGAGCTCCAGATGGGGCCGTGAAGCGCGTGAGGCGACTGCCGACATGGCGCGGTGGCGCCATGCGGGCGCTGCCCTTGGGGCCTTCGGTGGGGCGCCCAATGGGGCCGCGACGCGTGCGAGGGGTGTGTCGAGAGTGGGCGGTGCCGCCACGCGGGCGCTGCCACAGGCGCATTCGGTGGAGGTCCTGTGGTGCCACCACGTGTGCGAGGGATGTGCCGACAGGGGCACGCGGAGGGCGCACGCACGGAGGGGAGACCGGAGGACGGGGACGGGTGAGGTGAGTGACGCGGGGCGCTGCCTCTTCAGACCGAGGAGCCCACCCCACAGGACGGTTGGGAAATGCAGGGGGGCTCCCCGCTTCCAGGACCCTCCGCCTGGAGCTCGGCGGCGCCAGCCCGCACCTCGCGCTGGGGGCCGCCCTCCTCGAGGGCCCCCCTGGAGACGAGGCGGCGCGGCGCCTTTCGGACACGTTTACCAGCAGGACCCGCGGAGAGGAACCAATTCTAGACGCTTCGCGTAACCCCACCAGCTTTCTGACTCGCCGCCGGCGCGCTCGCCCGCGGCCGCTGACCAAAAAAGTGCCCCCACCAGCCCATCCAGAAACGATGCCCAGAGGAATTGCCACGATCAGGGAAGTGGGCAGCACACAGGAAGGGTCCCCCAGTGGAGGCCTCTTGGAGCGTCTTGGATGCATCGGAGGGCGTCTCTTGGGAGCATCTTGGAGGCCTCTTGGGCGCCTGCTGGAGCCTCCTGGGCGCCTCTTGGGGCCCTCTTGAAGCGCTCTTGGGAGCCTTGGGAGCGCTCTTGGGGCCATCTTGGAGGACATCGATCAAACAAGCAGCCAGCATTAGTTAGCGTTGCGCCTCGTGAGCCCACAACATCGCCTCTTGGGGCGCTCTTGGGGCGCTCTCGGAGCGCTCTTAGGCGCTCTTGGGGCCGGCATGGGGCTCTCTTGAGCCTCTCTTGGAGCCCTCTTGGGCCATCTTGGAGCCATCTTGAGGCCTCGGATGGCCATTGGAAGCGAAAAGGCGAGAAAGCCAAACACGTAGATGTTCCTAAGGTTTTGGCCTCTTCGGGGACTCTTGGGGGAGCTCGTTGGCCACTTGGAGCCGTCTTGGAGCGGTCTTAGGGCATCTTGGAGCATCGTGGGAGCCATTCTGAGACATGTTGGGATATCTTGAGCCATCTTGGAGGTCATCTTGGGCTCTTCCAGGCGCCCTTGGAGCCATCTTAATCAGTGCCTCCCCCAAGAGCCAAGAGGCCCAAATGTGGCTAAAACCTTGGTCAAATCAATGCTTGGGCATTTTCGCCGAGGCCTCTTGGAGCATCTTGGGTGCCTCTGGGGGGTCTCTTGGGGCCTCTTGGAGGTCTCTTAGGAGCCTCTTGGGGGCATCCTGGGGGCCTCTTGGGGCTTTCTGGCCACCTCTTGGGGCTCTCTTGGGGCACCCTTGGGAGCCTTGGGGGCCATCTTTGGGCCATCTTGGGTGAGATCGATCACAGGAGGGGGGATCCCCAATTAGGCCCCCCCTTCAGGAGGCCAACATGGAGCCGAAGCCTTAGTAACACCAGTGATTTGGGCTTCCTTGCCGAGGCCGTTTTGGAAGCCCTGGCACTTCGCGAAACCCGCCGTCCAGGTCCAGGGGAGGGGGTAAGGGGGAGGGGTCAAGACCCCCTCACCGCCCGCAAGCCGTCTCGCTCACTCCCACCCGCCCTCCCAACACATACGTAGCACCCGAGCCTGGCCCGAGCCGTAGCATATTCAGCAGGCGTCTTTGGATGGGCAGCTACTGGGGGCGAATCCGCCGCCGCCGCCGCCGCCGCCTCCGCCGCCGCCGCCGCCGCCCGCCGCTGCCGCCGCGCCGCCGCCGCCGCGCCGCCGCCGCCGCCGCCGCCGCCGCTGTCCGCCGCCGCCGCCGCGCGCCGCCCGCCGCAGCCGTCCACTGCCGCGCCGCCGCCGCCGCCGCCGCCGCCGCCGCGCCGCCGTCGCCCCGCTGCCGAAACGCCGCGCCGCAGCCGCTGCTGCCCCGCTGCTGCCGCCCGCCGCCGTTGCCGCCGCCGCCGCCCCCGCCGCCGCCGCCGCCACCGCCGCCGCCGCCGCCACCGCCGCAGCCGCCGCAGCCGCTGCCCCCGCCGCAGCCGCCGCCGCCGCCGAGTGTACTTTGTATTGTTGTTTTGACAGGGATGGTGAGGAGAGGCCGCATCGGGTTCGCTGCGAATGCTCCGAATGTGGAGGCAGAGTGTGTGTTTGTATTGTTTTTTACAAAGGATGGCGGGGAGGTGCCCTCATTGACTCGGGTTGGGGAGGGGGTGTATATTAATAAGGAGCAGAACCCCTCCCCGAGGGGGAATAATGAGGTTGGAAGAGGAAGCTTCCTAAACCACCTACGCCTAGAGGGCTGGTGGGATTTTGAGGACGAGGGGTGTCGGGAGGGGGAGGAGGGAGGGGGGAGGGAGGAGGGAGGGAGGGCGAGGAGGGAGGAAGGAGTGAGGAGGGAGGCAGGGAGAGGGAGAGGGAGCGGGATGGGAGGAGGCTCGTGGGGAGAGGGAAGGGCGGAGAATGATGGGGACGAAGGGGAGTGAAACGGGGAACGAAGGCGGCGAAGGAGGGGGATGGCAGACATTTTGGGACGAAGGAGACGGTGGAGGGACCGTTGTGACAAAGTCTCGGGACGGAGGGGAGGGAGGAGGGAGAGGGATGAGGAAGGGGGGAACCAGGGGGGTGACGCGCAGTTTGCGCTGATGGCGAGCACGCTCATATCCGAGTGCGTCTGGCAATTTCCCGTCGAGGCTGTCGCTTTCGATGGAGGCGTCTGGGGCTTCGGCTCTGCGGAAAGAAGAGGGGGAGGGAAACGGGAGGGAAGGGAAGGGGAGGATGATGATGATGAGGAGGAGGAGGAGGAAGAACATGACGGGCAAGAGTCGGTGGGGGGAGGGGACGCTGAAGGCCCCCCTAGTCTGCTCCGGCCTATTGTTGCTCCGTTTCCCTTTGTTGGTCACACCTCGTTGGATGGGGTGGTCTCTATGCGGAGGGCTAAAACAGCCACGAAGGCACAGCATACACGCACAGCTGCAGCTAGGACGCAAACTTGACGTCACTCATGCAACGCAGGGTCCAGTTTGAGCTTCGAATCACTTCAGTAACATCTAATACCTAGGCGAAGGCACGATGCTTACGCACATCTGCCAACTCCAGTCGTGATCACAGGCGTAGGCATAGACATATTGGCATCGAAGTTTACAAACACATCTGTGAACCTGGGCGGGCCCCGACAAGTGCCATCTTGCAATATATACGGTGCAGCCTAGGTGGTGCAGTCAATGTTGTGCAATCGAGGCGGTGCCATCCATATGGTGCAACGCAGTGTAAGCCTATTGAAAGCAATGCAAAGCAATGCCAGGCAATGTCATGTAACGCACATCGTCGCGACGCAACGCAAAGCAGCGCAAGGTTTCGCAACGCCATGCACGATAATACAAGGCAATACCAACCATTTCACAGCAATGCTAAGTCATGCAAAACAATGCAACGCATTCCGTGCAGGGCAATGCACAGCAATGCAAAGCTGTTCAAATCAATGCAAAGCACGCAACGCAAACCAACGCAAAGCAATGCACAGCAATGCGATGCAAACACATGCAAAGCACTGTACAGCATTGCAAACCCATGACACGAAGTGGAATGCAAAGAAGTGCAAAGTGCGAACCTCGCTCAATCAACATCGTGACCAAGGTCGAGCTGACCGAAAGACATGAAACCCTAAGTGCAAGCTTTGTTTTGGGAGCCAGTGGGCATAGGTAAGCCCATAGGGATAGGCTACCCCGCATTACTGGTAATGCCGACCGCATTTGATCTGTTTCATGTGGGACGAGAACTTCAGACCCAGTAGATTCGGTTGGCAGGCTTGGGAGATAGAGGCAAAAGTAAAGACGGACACGCAGACGCAGCAGGCTGAGGAGCAGCGGAGCAATGATCCATAGTCAACAGCAACGTGACGGAGGCATACGTAACGTCACGCTGCAAAGTGCAATCGTTGAAGGTGTACCAGCAGAAACTAGATTCGAAAACAACTGCGCGATCAGCCCAAAACGCATATTTGTGAAACAACAACTAGCGGACGTTGCTAGTTACAAACACATGTCCACATTAAGCAGTCGCACCAACGCCACACGCTGACACAGGCACGAGCACAGTTGTTGTTTGCTTCGCCTCAGGTGACCTGGTGACGCGCCCGTGTGTTGTCCATCTGCTGGACGCGAGGGGCGAATGTGCATTGGACTGTGCGTGTGACAGGTGTGCGCCAAAGAAACACGGACAGCCACGCAAACACATACACCCGCCAATATCATACCGTACTCGCAGAAAGTCAGGCACGTTCGATTGCCAATTGCAGCATCGGTAGAAGTGGCATACTTGCACAATCGCAAACAGCAACAGCAGTAACAGCGCCTTGAGCTTGCTTTGCTTTGCTTTGCCTCCTAGCTGAGGCACCTTCCGCCCCGTGATCGTGTCAGTCGTTTCGAAAAAGTGGCAGGGAGGGAGAGGATGAAGAACAAATGATCCAGAGCGTTCTCGAACACTCAGAGTGTGCTGAAACGCGCTGAAACGGGAGCGCTCTGGAACGGCCGCGGCGCCCTACATATCCTCCAGACTCGCCGGTTCTCAGGGACCCCCGATTCATATGTTTTTGCTGGTCCGAGTTGCTCTTCATCCTGCAGTCGTCTTGCCAGGGTGGCCCTCGCCTCCCGCTCCCAGGAGCCCGCTGTGGTACGCGCCCGTGCGCGCCGTTGGGCTCAGCTTCGGGCGGCAGGACAGGGCTCTGCGATGGAACCAGGACTGCCTGGGCCCGCCCACAGGTCGGCCCCGCTGCAGGGAGGAGATCTCGACTTCAGTTGAGGGCGTGGGTTCGGCTTTGTCGTGGGGTCCGAGCGAGTCGAGGCCATCCCATGAGATCCGCAAGGGTGGGGCATGCGCTTCGGATGCTGAGTTGAACACCTGCGTGCCGGACTGTGCGAGGGGGGGCTCGCTTCGGCCCGAAGGCTCGTAGCCCGGACGGGGAGGAGAAAGTGGAGGTGGAGCCCCTCAGTATCGTTTAGCTGATCCCCTTCCCCATCCCCATCCCCATCCATCAGACCCCCACCATCTCATCCCCCAAGTTGGGGATATACACCCCGAAATCTGACAGAAACCGCCTATATCCCCATCTGTGGGGGGGTAAACTGGCCAGTGGGGCCCAGGCCACGCGAATGGGATTAGAGATCGGTTGAACGATGCTCAGCCCCCCGCCATGCAGCATTTCCAGGGGACCCACACGACGAGTGGCCAAGGCAGGCCGATGCGCAGGGAGGGGGAGGACGAGGAGCAGGGAGGAGGGGGAGGGAGGAGCAAGCGCAGGGTGTGGAGAAGGATCACGGGGGGGAGGAGGAGGAGGAGGAGGAGGAGGAGGAGGAGGAGGAGAGGAGGAGGAGGAGGAGGAGGAGGGAGGAGGAGGAGGAGGAGGAGGAGGAGGAGGAGGAGGAGGAGGGAGGAGGAGGAGGAGGAGGAGGAGGAGGAGGGAGGAGGAGGAGGAAGAAGAAGAAGAAGAAGAAGAAGAAGACGAGGAGGAGGAGGAGGAGGAGGAGGAGGAAGACGAGGAGGAGGAAGACGAGGAGGAGGAAGACTAGGAGGAGGAAGACGAGGAGGAGGAAGACTATGAGGAGGAGGACGAGGACGAGGAGGAGGACGAGGAAGAGGGCGGGGCTGCCCCATGCAGGACTACAACTCGAACCCCGGCGCCTTCTTGGGCACCCCGGGGCTCCTGGACACCAGCTCCTCGGCGATCCGGGTGCGCACGACGACGTACGAGAGCATGCTGCTGGCATTCCCCGGCGACTGCAAGAAGGACCGCCGACAGTCCTGGACACGGGCTTCCCTCGGGCGATCGCAAACATGGATTAAGGTGGCGTGGATTAGCGACGGGTCCCGTTCTCGTGGGAAATCGCAGATTTCCGCCGCCGAACGAGTCGGCACTGGCCGCATTTTGGGGAGGGCACCTCCCCCGAACCATGGATTTGGCGACCGCGCGCCAAATCCATGGATCGCTAATCCATGTTTGCGCGCCCCCGATTCCCGGTTTCCGACGCCGTGTTACCTCTCAGTACCAGTGTTCCTCCTCGATTCCAGCGTCCAGCGGCCCGGTTCGGGCCCGGGGCCCATCCAGAAATCACATTTGGGACGTGGAAAAGACGGCCCAAGCGAAGGCGTCGAGAGGTCCCGTGGCCGCCCACTGACGGCGTCAGAGATACGGGTCGCCCACTTGGGTGGGGGTGTCAGCAAGGCCTCGGGTTGCGGCCGACGGCCCACCAGAGGTACTCTCGGCTGGCCCGAACTGCCCCCCCAGGGGAAGATCGGGGCGGGCGCCATACACCCAGGTTCGCTTCGGGTGTTGAGACCGCCCCAGACTTCGTTGGGGGGGGCTGTCGAGGCCAGGCTAGACTCCCTCTCGGGACCGTCTGTGCTCCCCCCGGAGCCTTGCCAGGCGTCGCCCACGGGAACACTTCTTAGAAGCTCGAGGACCTTCGTGAGGACCCTTGAGGTCTCGTAGGGCGCTGGCCCTTGTGGCAACGCCTGGGCCGGAGAACGCCCAGAGTTTCTGTGAGTCTCTTCCGAGTTTGTGACCCCCCGGGGATTGCGATGGAAGGACGACGAGGCTGGGGGGACATCCTGCTCCTGCAGCGAAAGCGACGACCTCGGGGAGACGTTCCCCTACATCTCCATCAGCCTGGAGTCCGCGAGCACCACGCGCTTCTTCGGCCTCGACTCCGGCGATGACGTCATCGTCTGCATGCCGCCCGCGTCCTACGTGAGCTACAACGCCAAGTCCAGACGCTGCGAGGTGGCCGTGGCGGACGACGGCGAGCGCAGCGCGTACAGCGAGTCCCTGGTGCTCGGGGCGCCCTTCTTCCGCTCCGTGGCGGTGCTCCTCGACTACGACAGGTCGTTCATCCGGCTGGGAGCGCCGCTGGAGGCGGGCGCCGCCGTGCGGCCTTCTGGCCGGCGCTTGGCGGAGGAGGCTCGAGCAGTGGCGAAGTGACCTGGCCATGGGGCCACCAGGGAATGTTCTCAGAACGTCTCTGGCAGAGACAGTCTCCGCTGAAGCCATCGCTTGGATGCTCCGAGGACGCTGTCTTTGTTACTCGAGCACGGCTTGTTCTAAAAACATGCCGTGGTAGGGCTGCAAAAATGCCCAGACGGTCGGCCCCTGCTCCAGAGGCGGGCGGCGCGGCTCAGTGCCCGTGCGCAGACCCCAAGAATTGGTGGTCCACGGGCCACCGGCTCAGCTGGCGGCGCGTGGCGCTGGTGCTGGCGGTGGCCGCCGCGCTGGCGGCGTACGTCTACGTGGCGCACTCCCCGTCGCAGGCGGCCGTGTTCCTGCGCACCCAAGGCTGGGCAGCCGCCGCCGCGATCTCGGGAGAGGAAGAGGCACCGATACCACTGCCATGTCTTCGATTTCGCCTTCTTGGGCCTCGGGGAAAGCCCTCGTCACCACCGCTGGATCCGCCTCGAAATTCTGGGCAGAACGCACCCCAGGAGAAGTCCATGGAGTAGCAGTGCCGGTGCCTTTTGGTTTCCCCAAGATCACCCACATGGCCACCTCGTGGCCTCGGCTACCCTGAGATCCTGGCGTTGCAATTGTTTCACAACGGGCGTTTGTTTCGCCCGTTTTCCGGTCACAGATCGATCCGGTTTGAAAAATTGCTCAGAAAGGTGGGGTCCAGGGCTTTGGCGATTTTTTGCGATGTTGTAGGTTGTTTGCAACGTCAAATCTGAGGGTGCGAGTGATCTATCGCAGGAGTGACATTTGTCAGACGGGGCTAGGACGAGGATGCATCCGTTCCAGAGCGTTCGGGAACGCTCTGAGAAGGCCGCGGCGCCCGAGACATCCTTCAAATCTGCCGATTCTCAGAGATTACCGATTGATCCTCGCCCGAATTTGTCCTCGTCCTGGCTTCGTCTGGGGGTAAGAGTGGCCCCCTCGCAGGAGTGACCTTCCGGTTCGGGCCCACAGGGGTCCCGCCAGCAAGGGCTGGCTAGCGCTGGGGGAGGGCTTGCGCTCGGCGCCCCCCCCGCGGCCCCCGAAAGACGCCGCGCACCAGAGGCCCCTCTTGCCCACCAGGTCACTCTTCCGGGCAAGCGCCGCTCCTTGATGGCAGAACAAGTTGTACAGTCGACCCGCATAGTAATCAAGGATAGGCATCCCTCCCAAGGGTACCCTTGCATCCTTGCCTCCTGGGTCCATCATTGGGCACGTTCGTTGGCCGCGCCACGCTCGAAGCGCTTCGAAATGGGCGTCCAAGGCCCTTGCACCCTTCTCGCGCATCCTTACTATACGAGTTGACTGTGTAAGCCTACAGTTGTGTTGTTTGTGTCCCTCTACAGGAGGAGTCTTCAAGAATAGCTAGGACATAGTCTTGGAGAGGATTGTTCGACCATTTCTGACTGTTGTTGAATATTTTTAGAGTATCCTCCGTTTTTATACCAAAGCCCTCCTGTAGGAGCACATGCCCGACCTGAATCTACAGTGAGGGCGCGCATCAAGAAACCAGATGCTGTTCGTCGGGGCATCCCGGGGTTCTCAGCTCCGCGAGCTGCGCGGCGAGTTTCCATAGCCGTTGACAGATGCTGCTGCGCTCCGGGTGCTCCAGGTTTCCCCTCGTGCACCTCGCGCGTACATTTGCGGAGCTCCGCGCGGATTCCCCGGATGGGCGCTGGGGCCCCCCTGGCGGCGCCTCCGGCGCTTCCGGCGCGCTGCGCTGCGCGCGCCATGGAGGGCGGTTCATCGCCGATCCGAGACATCCGCGCGGACCTCCGGAAGCGTATGGTCATGCAGTTTGTGGTTCCTCTTGATCCAGGTCACCCGCGTATACGCACGTCGTGAAACGCCAGACGTGCCGTGTTCGAGACGTCCGCGTGAACACGTTGCGTGATTGCTCGGCACGTGTTGGCCCACGTCTTGGCGAACCTGTCGCGCCGGACCTGCGTTGTCGATCTGCGTGTTGAGCTCCACGTCAACATGCTACGGGTTGCGTGCTGCGTATCGTTTCAGCTGAGCTTTCGAATCGTCGGCCCAGCTCCTCCAATAGAGTGACCTCTGGCCAGAGTGACCTTCGGGTGCGGGCTCAGTGGGGTCCCCCGATCGCTGCACCCATGCGATCGTAGCAGGTTGTGCGCTGGGATTTGTCCCGCTTCGCGGCTTCGTAGAGCGCACCAGGAGTCACTCTTGCCCTGGGTCGCTCTCTCGCGTGAGTAGCCGACCGCGTGGCCTCCGCGTGGCTGCCCGGTCTGCGGGTGGAGCGCCGGAGAGAAGGTGCGGGATGGCGGCCTCCTGGCGAGGGCCGCCATCTGCTCACAGCGGAGGCGCTGCCCTGCAGACGGTCCGGATCCTGGCAGTCCAGTGCTGTGTTCTGATGGCCGTGCTCTGCCTTGCACAGGGGATCGTCTGGCTGTGCCCTGTGACAGACTAGAACCCTACATAGGAAGCAGTCCGTCACGGACTGTCCGTGCCCCCCGCCCCCCTCATCAGAGAAACTTTCAACGCCCCTGGCACCGGGGCCAGGGCGGAAGCGACATCCCCCGTAGCGTCTTCCTCCTCCTCCTCCTCCTCCTCCTCCTCCTGGAGCTTCTCCTCCTCCTCCTCCTCCTCCTCCTCCTTTCTCTGACTCCTCCCCCGGAAGTCTCTCGAGATCTCCGCCTCCGGAGGTTTGGGAGGTCTCTGGAGTTTCCAAGAGGCACTTTCCGATAGATTTCTCATTGGCATTCGAATGGCTTCTCGACGTTCCTCGTTTGGCCAGGTCCCAGGCGAGCGGCGAAAATAAGTAGTCATTTGTTTGTGTTGTTTCATGTGCTAGCGATATCGTCGAAGGGGGACCGCCGACAGTTATTATGTTATTCGTTTTTGTGATAACGATATCACCGGGGGGTACTGTATACTTCCTAGGTCCTAGGGGGAGGCGCCGTGCGATATGTGATATGAGTATGTCCACTATGGTACTTGTAAGGTGTTGTCGTAACCTGTCCTGTTATCCCGCAAAAGGGGCGTACAGTGCTGCATGATGTGCACTACAGCAAACGTGTTGACGCTTCGTGAACCCCTTCCAGCCAATCCAGAATTCCTCGGCGTGTTGTCTTGAGAAGGGGATCGACGAGCTTCAGGGAAGCACAGAGGGAGGGGCACTAGTCAAACCGAAGCTGAGATCAGCTCGACCATCTCATAATAATCGCTAACCTGATGTCTTCTGGAGGCCTTTGGGGAGCCTCTTGGAGCCATCTTGGGGTTCTCTTGAGGCCCTCAGGAGCCCCGTGGGGCTTTCTTGGAGGTTTTTGTCGACGCTGCGGAGGTTTTTTGGGGGGCCATCCTGGAGGCGGCCGACCAGAAAAGGGGAGGTCTTCAATTGGTCCTCCCCCCTCTGAGCTAGAAAACGACTTTGTGGCCCTCCTTGGAGCTCTCTTGCGGTGCTCTTGGGGCCTCGGAGCATCTCTTGACGGAGTGTGGGGGCCATCTTGGCGCCATCTGAAGGCCTCAGAAGGCCATCGGACGCGAAGATCATAGGCAAGCATCACAGAAAACCCACCTCTGTTTTTTGAATGTTATATCTCGGATGCATCCTTTGGAGGCATCGTGAGCACATGCCACAACAAGGCCAAGAGCTCCTCGACGTACCAGCGCAGGGTGTTCCTGTTCTAGCGGGGACCTGCGCTCTCCGTTTCGGCCCAGCAGCTTTCTCCAGCAGCTTCCAGAAGCTGCCCCCCCCGCCTCGAAAACCCCTCTCGCGCGCACGGGGTTGCGCGTGCAGGGCTCGCTCACCGTTTGCCTGGCGCTCTGGCGGAAGCGCTGCCCAACTTTCTCCTGTGCGTTCTGTAATGGGTGGGTGCTTGGAAAGGAGAGAGCGGGGAGGGGAGGTCGGTCGGTCGGTGGAGGAGGACAGCGAGGGAGGAGGGGGAGGAGGAGGAGGAGGAGGGGAGGAGGGGGAGGGGGAGGGAGGAGGAGGAGGAGGAGGAGGAGAGGAGGAGGAGGAGGAGGAGGAGGGAGAGGAGAGGAGAAGGGAGGAGGAGGAGGAGGAGCGGGGGGATTGAGGTCTGCAGGGAAATAGTCTTCCATGTAGCGCGACAGTGCACCTCCCCTGGAGCACCGAAGGCGCACGCAAGGCGCACGTTTCTTCACCCCCCGATGCTCATGTAACAGATTTGTTCCATTTATATATACATATATATATATATATATATATATATATATATATATATATATATATGTCGCGGCGCGGTAGAGGCAACCCGCTCGCGCGAGTAGCAGCACCGGGCTAACCCCTGGGGTATTACACATGCCCCTTCAGTAATTTTGCATTTAGAGCGTGCTCGTCTTTCGTTCAATTCTGAGGGGACAGTAGCGCAAGCATAATTTGCAGGGGACGGGCAGCGGGAGGAGAGAAATGTTCTGTGCATGTTTGGCTCAAGAAATGATTGCTGATTCACCTCACTCCCCCAAATATCTCGGGGGAGGGCTGAAACATGGTATCGCGGAGCTGACTGACGTTCCGCGGACGTGAAATCCACTGCGCGACTTCTGCAGCGGAACATCGTCGAGATGGAGCAGCAGCTGCAGCAGCAGCAGAAGATGGCCGACTTGCTGCAGACTGTGCAGCGCCTGCAGCAGCAACAGCAGGAGCAGCGGCAGCAGCAGCAGCAGCGGCAAGCAGCAGGACAAGCACTTGGTCCTGCTCCCCGCATCGCCCAGCGCCTGGAGGGCGTGCTGGACGCGAATATCATCGGAAAGGTGAAGCAGTTCGACGGCAGCCGGGCCGCGTGGTCCACTTGGGAGTTCCACTGGAGATCTTTCAACATAGCGAACGACAGGCGATACACGGACTTCTTCGAGAAACTAGACGATAAGACCCTGGACCAGCTCGACCTAGTCAAGAACGCGACCGTGGCCGTCGACGACGTAGACTACGAGGACTTGAGTACACAACTCTACTACATGCTCGTGCTCGCCATGCCCGAAGATTCTGCAGGAGAGACGATCATGCGCAACGTATTGCACGGAGAAGGTGGTCAGGCCTGGCTATGACTTAAGGAGAGTATGCCCGTAACGAGCCTGGTAACGTGGTCGCGTGCATGAGGCAGCTCATGAGCACACAGTTCCCGCAGAACACGGACGTGGCGAACGAGTTAGAGAAGCTGGACTTGGAGATAAGCAAGTACGAGAAGGCGGCTGACAAGCAGGTGAGCGACAACAGTAAGAAGGGTATCCTGCTCGGCGCGCTGCAGAACGAGACCGACTTACAGAAGCACGTCTTCCGCAACTTGAGGAATCTTGCCGCCTACCTTGACGTCAAGAATGAGGTCCTGAGCGCCCTGAAGGCCCAGCGCAGCTTTGATGACGACGCG